GGGAGTTGTTATTTCATGCTCTATGCCTTTAGTAACACAAAACTCACTAAATTCCCTTAAATTATATTCAACTCCACCATCATTCTTGAGTATCTTCACCTTCCATTTAGCTTGTCTCTCTAGTAAGATGCAGAATTTCTCAAAACATGAGAAGATTTCTTTCTTTTCTTTCAACTAGTACAACCAAATCTTTCTAGTCAATTCATTCATAGAAAATACTTATTACCTCCAAGAGATGAAATTAAAAGGGTCACACACATCTGAATGTACTATACCAAAAGGTTGTTTAGCTCTTTGAGGTGTAGTTTTCTTAAATCTTTTCCTGGATTGTTTTTTAATCACACATCCTTCACAAACCTTCTTAGGAGAATGTATCAAGGGTATGCCACTCACCATTTTCTTACTGTCAAGTTGAATTAAACTCTTGAAGTTTAAATGTCCATACTTATAATGTCATAACCAACCTTCTTCTTCAATATGAGTAGCTGATAAACATTGAATTACGGTTGCATTCAAGTTTATCTTGAATATTCTGTTCTTGGACAATGAAGCCTTGAATAGCAGTGGTTACTTGTCATCAAACACTTCAATATGATTTTTTTGCATTGACATGATGAACTTTTCTCTAATAATTGCCTTAAACTAAGCAAATTCGTTTTCATAATAGGGACATATAACACATCATTCATGTATGCAGTCTTCTCATCTTTTCATGTAATCAGTACCTTACCCACTCCTTCTGTCACAATTGTACTGTTGTTAACAAATCTTACATTACTCTTTACACTATAATCAAGATCCACCAATTATTCCTATTTCTAGTCATATGATTAGAGCAACCTGTATCAAGATACCATGAATAATCATTTTCTCCACTATTTGTGGTAGTCACCATCAATAATACTTGATCTGAATCAAAACTTTCCTCCTCATGCACAAGATGTGCTTCATAATTTTTCTTTCCTTTCTTACTTATAGAATCATTCTGCCAACATTCATAAGAAAAATGTCTAAATTAATCATAATTATAACACTACACCTTCTTTCTATCAAAGTTCTTCATATCTTTGCCTCTGAATTGCTTTCCACCTTTAAAACCTGAGTTGTTCTTTTGTTAAGAAGAAAAAGCATTTTCAGTTGATTATGAAACATCTCCGTTTCTGGCACCACTTCTACCTTCTCTTGATCTACCTCTAAATATTTTTCCGCCACGTCCCTTGTTCTTGTGATAATTGGCTTTAGCTTGTAAAGCTTGTTCAATGACTTTCACACAATTCTTCCTCTCAATTATTCGTTGTTTATGTGCTTCTAGGGAATTCTGTAATTCCTCAATTAACATAACCTCGAGATTTTTGGATTCCTCAATAGCAACCTGAATGTGGTCGAATTGAGGGGTCAAAGTTCGCAGCACCTTATCTACAATCTTGCAATCTTCCACACTCTCATCACAGGCTCACATAGAGTTTACCAAAACACGTAATCTACCAAAGTACTCTGCTACTGTTTCTTGTTCTATCATAGAAAGGAGTTCATATTGTTTTCTCAATGATTGCAATCTACCAGAATTTTCATATCTATTCTTCAAAATATCCCACACTTCCTTTGTTATGGCAACCTTTGATATTTTCTGAAAAATGTGTTAGGAAATACAAGTGTGATTCTAAGTCTCACATTGGGTAAGAATGAGAAAATTGAGTAACATATAAAGAAGTATGACTCATAACCTAATGCCTTAAGGTTTTGGGTTGAGAGTGGTATCAATCTCTTATATGGGTTGGGCTCATGTCTCATTGGTGTGTTTCTCCTCTGTGAATCCTCCCTCGAAAGACCTAACAAATGGTATCAGAGCCAAAGATTGATCGATAGTGGGTTAGGGTGGGTCAAGTAAGTGTGTACCGTTATAGTGAACGACTTTATATGAAAGGACAACTAGTGAACTCAAGGTAATTCAAGTGTGAGTTAAGTCTCATATTGTGTAAAAAAGAAAAAGTTGAGTAACATATAAGGAAGTATGACCCATAACCTAATGTCTTAAGGTTTTGGGTTGAAAGTGGTGTCAATTCCTTATATAAGTTGGACTCTTGTCTCATTGGTGTGTTCTCCCCTCTGAATCCCTCTCGAAAGACTCAACAAAATGTTGAGAGTAACACACTGGTGTAACAACACTCTTGTTTCACAATCCAACCTCTTATCTTCCTTAAACATTACCTTTAGCTCATCTATGACATTCTTGGGAGGTTCTTGAAACTCATTCTTCACAACCTCATCAACTTCTTGAAAACCAAGAATCGTCACCATCTTAACACAATAATCATCATACCTTTTTTCATCAAACACAAGTAGGTGACCTAATATCAAACCTCCAATAGCCATAGAAGCACACACGTAGCAAGTATCACACCTTGGTAGTCTCTTTCACGCACAATACACCTCACAATCCTCTTGTTAGAATTGTGCTCTAAATACCAATATGTTGGGTTAAGATAGAAAAATAGAATGTAGGTAAATACAATACACTATGGGAGATAGGGAAATTAGGAGATTTCTCATTACTAAATTTACCATGTTTATAAGTATATATGAAACACAACAACTCAATACAATTGTAATATGACAGTTAATACGGTTACAAACACAAAATATCTATTTTGGATTTATACACCACTCGTGAGATTTTTCCTTGATCAATTCCGAACCATAATCAATTCAGTATTTTGATTGAAAAAAGTGTTTTTGTAAGGTAAAATGTTTTGAGTGGTCTAAATTGAAGTTTTTATAAATATTATTATAATATATTTTTTATATATAATTTTTTTGTTTATTATGATCATTATCGATGGGTGGATATCAATGATGGAAACATTGATGTAATTGATAAAATGATTATGAAAGTTATTAAAGAACATGCACAAAAGAAAAGATAAGGAAATTGTAAAAGAAGGTCTAATTTGGGAGGATAAAAATAAAATATTTTGTCATTGTTTCAGTAGGATATCGATAATCATAATTATTTTTTTAGTTATGTTAAAAAATGTATTTAGATTTAAGAATAATTAGTTGTTCTAGTAAAAATAGGATTGGTATGATTGTGTTATGAGTATTGTCTTATTATTATATAATATATATATATATATATATATATATATATATATATATATATATATATATATATATATATATATGAATATAATGAATGTTACGAGTAATTGAGATATGAATTAATGTTCTTCATATATAACAAATTTAAATTGTGTAATTAAAATAGGGGATCACATGAAAGTAAGCAAGGATGACATAATCAAATTTTTATATGCATTAATTTTGTACTGATATATTAAATACAATTAATAATGATTTTGTATGAAATATTAAATTTAAGAAACAGTATAAAATGAAGGACAAATTTAGGTGTTATCCTAATTTTTTTTTTAGTCATCCAATTTTGTATTGTGACGCTCATTAATTACACACATTAACCATCACACAATAATTTTCTCCTTAGGCACATATAACTTTTAGATAAACAACGGAAAGACATGACACAAGAGACATAAAAGTTTTTAAAATACACGATTGATTTCTCAGATCAAATATAAAAAATTAATAAATTAACGACTCATAATGTTTAGTTTTATTTTTTCTTGTATTAATTAACGAATTAACAGGTTAATTTTAACCTGAAAATTAAGAAAAATTATTAATGTATCTTTATAAAATAATTAATTAAAAAATATTTAAATAAAAAAAATATTTTTAAATTTTAAATTATATTAATAAAATTAGTTTTTATTTAAAATATAATAATTTAATATATAAATTATAAGATAATAAATCTATTCAAGTTAAAAAATTTACTCTTTTTTATCATCATTATTATTTTAATAATTTATTAATTTAAAATAATAATCAATTTTAATTATTACATTTTAATAAGTAATTGTTAAATAACTAATTTTTTTAATTTATAATATATAAATTTTTAATAAAATAATATTATTTTTATTTATATTTAAAAAAATTATTATTATTTTATAAAATAAATTAGTATATAAATATGAATTAATTTAACCTAAATTCATATAAATCATTATTTAAATGTGAAGATAGGTTTGATTTAATTTAAATTGTAATTTTTTTATCTAACCAAGCTTTTTTTTTTTACTTTTTAAATTAATCTATCAAATTAAACACAATAAAAGAAATAATAAATAAGATATTGTCACTACAATACACAAAAACGACCCACCATCATACAGGATAATGACCCAACTCTGCACAACAATGATCCCACCAAAATCCTGCCGCAATGATAATATTATTACAAAGAATAATTTGTTTTACACAATTTTAAAAATAATTTTCTAATTATGTCTTTTAAAATTCTTAATTAATTAAGACTAAAATCTTAACAAATTATGATTATATTATGAGATATTAAAAAAACTATACAAAATAAGAATTTTTTTAATAATTATCATATAAGAAATATATTTAATTTAAAAAAAAGGAAAAAAAAATGTTCTCTTAATAATTTTTATTTTCTCACTACCAAAAAGATTATATATATATGTAACCTGCAGAAGAGGATGTCTTGGGCGATATGTGGAAAACAGGAAGCAGAATCTGTGAACTAAATACGGAAACTACAAATCCGTCAACTACCCTGTTTGTTTGCACGTGTCGAATGCTCTTAACTTTTAATGTTGCGAAAGTCACTCTCTAGTCTAAAGTCTAAAATTAAACAAACCGAAGCCATAAAGCACGGCCTATATGGCTAATTCTACACCTCACAACTTGGTCAGCAAGCTCATCATATGACTCTCTCAAGTCATCCTCCACTTCAATTCTTATTGGTCCATCGCTTACCATTTTTCCTTACCAAAATCACTCAAAAAGTAGCAAGCTATGATTAGGTAGTTTCCCACCAATTTCACTGCATTCCTGTCTTGTTTATAAGAACAATTGCCCACCCAAAACACCAACTACTACCGTTTTCAACCATGTCCTTCTTCTGGTGCTCTAACTTGGTCCGTTTGCACCTCACCTGGCCTGTAGTAACCAATGCTGCCACTTGGACAACACTTTTATCGTTGACGGTGGCAGTGGCCTCTGTCTCACCACAGGTGGCGTTTGTCTCCGCCATATCCCCCTCTTCTTCGTTCTCTCAGAAGTGCAGCACTAGTGGGTCCATTAGAATGCCCTTGGATGTTCCAGGAGACATCCTGTGTTTTCCTCCTGGTATGTTTGTGAAGTCCAAGATTGATCTAATCGTTCCACCCGTCTTTGCAGCAGCAATTGTAGCGGCTTCTGCTTGCGTGGTGCGAGCTGTGGGCTTGTGGGAGCATGATCAAACTCGTTGAGATGCAAGTTATCCGGGTATTCCTCTTAGAATCAGATTATAATTCGAGATGGGTCATATCTATCTGACAAATAATTGACAAAAATCGATTTTGTCAAGTGAAATTTGACCCAGATCATAGGGTTTCCAGATAGATTATGTGATCATTTCTTGCTGGGAAGAGCTTCTGAGAAATTGAGCTAAACTGGTTGATTCTGTATATATGCGATTATTGGTCTTTGTAAATCCACACAACGATTTAGTTAAATATCAGCAATGATGTGTTCGTAATAGATTTCGGAATTTATATGTCCTTCGGTATGCTGATCATATGGGGACTTCGATTTTAGGACAATGATCAATCTTATTTTACAGTTAAAATTAATTTTTCATTCAACACTAACAATGTAATAAGTAGTTCGATAGCTGCTATTTTCATTTCAAGAAATAAAGTTGACAAAGATAGCTGTCTGCAAATGAAATGCTGTATTTCTGTATTTTGTCTGGTTGTTAGGATGTCCAATATCCATCCACATACGATATCATAGGTCCTCGCAATGACTATCACTCATTAATAATTATTACGTACTATTAATTTTGCAACTCATCTTCACTGATTCTAATATATGCTCTACCTAAAATATTTTATTTATATATATTCACTTCATATGAAATAATTTATTATATTTCACTTAATATATATATATATATATATATATTTTGTTATTATAGTTTTCTCTCGTGTATATATCATTTATATTTTTTTTTCTCTTTTTAAATATTTTCTTATAAGTAATCTAAAATAAAACACTATTTTTTTAAATTATACTTCAAAATAATTTAAAATTTTATTTTAAATAATAATATAATTTAATCTAGATCTATATAAAATTTGTATTTAAATAAGTAAATCTTCAAATATATTTTAAATTAAGATAGATATTTCAAAATTTATACACAGTAATGTTGAACCAATAATTTATTAATTAATATTAAAAAAAATTTGATTACATGAACATTGATACAATATTTTATTAAATATGAAAAAACAAAATTATTATTTATTGAAAATATTAAATTATATTATCTAATTAACTAGATAAATTATTTACAAATTTTAAAATATTAATTTTATTTTAAAATTATTTAAAATATATTAAAAGATTTATTTTTTATTTTAAAAATATATTTTGTTTAAATATAAACTAAATTATTCTATTATTTAAAATAAACTCAAGAATATATTTTAAATTATTTTGAAGTATAATTATTAAAAAAATATTTTTTATTTATTGGTTACTTGTGAAAAATTAGTTATAAGAGAATTTTAAAAATGAAAGAATAAGTGTAGGTGAAATGAAAAAAACTTCATGAGTTATGATATCTTAAGGGAATGTATGTAAATAAAACGTGCTAAATATCTATTTATGGAAGAATGGCTCCATCACCTCATAACAATGTTATACCAATAAAAAACTTTTATACTATATATTTATTTGCATTCTTAAGACCTATGTGTTTTAACGAATTATCTAATGAAAATAATTATTCTTAAATAAAAAAATTTAGAATTATTTTTATCTTAATATTATATACATTCCTAATTTTGAATTTAATTTTATTTAATAATCAGTCAAAAAAAACAAAAACTTTTTAACTTTTTCAATTCTTAACTTTTGTTTTATCTTTTTAAATAGATATGTATATATATACAAATATATTATTAAATACTTATTTATTTAGATTAGTATCGAATTAATTTTATTACTGATGGATATGAGAAACACTCTCCATACAATAATATTAATTCTGATATGGTCCTTAAATATTTTTGAAGAAATTTTTATTAATGAAATACAAGTCAAATTTTGAGGAATTTTTCATGAATAAAACACAAGTCAATTATTATGAGCTTTTATCATTTATAAATTATTTATTTTTCACATATTTATCTAACATTTGATTTTAATTTACAATTAGATTTTAATATTTATAATAAAATTTAATTATATAATAGAAAATTAATTTATACATTGCATAAACTAAATATTCCCAATAATGCAGTTAACATAAAAGATAGAATTCATGAGGTAGTAATTCTCCCCCTCAACTAAAAAGCAAGACGAATTCAAGAATGATACGTAACCAACAAATTATAAGAAGGAAAAGGTTATTATTATAATGACACAAAACATATAAAACTAGTATCAAATGACTTTTTTAATGTGTGATGACAGAGAATGACTGAAAGGAAATACTATCTCCAATTCTACCATTGAACTACTAACATGATAGGAAGACCACTAGAGGTCGGACACATATAGATTATGGTATAAACTTATGCTAATAAATTAAAAAAAAAAAAAAAATAGTAGCTACTCAACTAACTTATGGATAGTTCAGGATGAGATTTTGGATGAAGTGAAGGGTTTGATACAAAAACCTTTTGATGCAAAGAAATGCAGTATTGCATAGGGAATGAAATGTTTGAAAACATCCTCAGAAAACGACAAATTGTAACTAAATATAACTATAACATGCTTCTTATTGCATGAGGAGCTACATTTTCATGGAGGACAACACCGAGCTGCAAGTGCAATCAAGCTTTTGAAATTGATTTGATCAACTCGTTACTGAAATCCCAGAGTTTCTTCGCTAGATGTTTGTTTCTTGCATGCGCACTTGGTTTGTATTGATTGCAATCCTCAAAGTACTTCCCAGTTACACCTTTCACGCTTGGGTGGAGAGCAACATAGCATGTCGTGGCTGCTCCCTGGATTTTAATGTTCCAAGAAATTAAACAATGATCAGTGACAATATATTTAGACTTCTGAGCCGTTTTAAATGTAACATTCTGCACCACCTATATTGGAATTCAAAATGGAGTGAAAAGAACATACCTGGGGGACGTTCTTCCATATATAAAAGGTGAAGATCTTCAGGAAGTCTGCGAAAAATCGTGTTAAAATGGAGTAACTATAAAAACTGCATCATCTACTTGTGTTGTGTTGTTTCTGTGTTTGAGGAGAATTAACATACGCATAAGGTAAGAAGAATGTCTCATAAGAGGTGTCATTATCACTCCTGGATGGACTGAGTTCGCTGTGATGTTCACACCCTCTTCCTGCACACATACACATTATTGAGTACACTTTATACTATTAACTAAAAGAATAGGAACTAAAATTTATTGAACATATCCAATTTTTTTAGTTTTACCTCTTATTAATGGTTCTCACTCATTATCTTATAGTTCTTAATAATTTCTTTTACTGTCGTCTCTCTCGTCCTCTTGTGACATTATCACTCTGATGCTTTCTTTATTTACTCTATATTTTCCACATTGTAGTTTACAGATAAGGTCAGAGAAGCAGAGGACTAAATGGATGACCTGAAGGCGACGAGAAAGCTCATTTGTATGCAATATGTTAGCTAACTTGGACTGTCCATACGCCTTCTTGTTACCATAACTGAAAATTTAAAGCAATAGTAGCAAAAAAAAAAGTGAAGTTCTAGTGATCAAAATCAAAGTCATGATGCAGTAATTTCGGGCCAGAAGCAATTGGAGTCAAACTGAAAATACCCTTTTTGCTCATTGATCTTATTGAATCTAATCCCGTTTCTGTAAGTGTAGTTATGGGCAATTGATGACAGATTAATGATCCTTCCCTCTATTCCAGTGGCTTGTGCAGTTTGTTTCATTTTTTCAAGAAGCAGGTTGGTCAATAGGAAGTGACCTGAGATGTCACAAAAAGATCAGAAAATACAATACTTATACTATCACTAAGACGTAAACCAAAAAATATCAAGCAAGAATGCTGAGACTTTACCAAGATGGTTTGTTGCAAATTGCATCTCAATCCCATCCTCTGAGAGTTTGAAGGGGCAGAACATTACTCCAGCATTGTTTCTGACATGAAAAGCTAATGATATGATCCATTCTTGGAAAATGACTAACTCAAAGATAACTAATTTGAGTATATATAAGATAGAAGATGGTTACTAAAAGAAAGTTGAATAGAAAGTGTGATGTAAAATTCAAAGGAAAACCAACATCAAGATATTGAGGGGAAGATCAAGAGCTAAGAAATTGTCGACGAAGGATGTAACTGAACTGAGTGAGCACAAATCGAGCTTCATTATGTCGACTCGTGCAGACTCATTCTCCTCTAGTATACGTTGTTTAGCTTCTTTTGCAGACACCATGTTTCGTACTGCAATGATCACATGAACCTTTCTGAGTGCCAACACTCGCGTTGTCTCCAACCCAATACCACTTGCTCCTCCTGAGTCAGGGTTACTTTTTTAGTTCTTAATTAGCACAACACAAATCTACAATATATATATCTTATTAAAAATAAATATTTTACGAGTGTCTTACCCATGAATTAATTACTTAAAAATAAAAATAAAAAGTTGTTTTGATAAATAATTTTGACCAAATTTAAGTCACTTATGATAATTTTATAATAAAATATTTATTTTTATTCTTAAACTATGTTAAAAAAAAATTTATAGATAACCTTAGAAAAAATAAATAGAACCAATTTGACTAAAGGTTTTTTTTTCTTTAACGTTTTTAAGCATTACCTACTTTTGAGATTTAAATGAAACAATTTTGTGGCATTTTACTCATCATAACCCTTCTTTAACAGTACTTTATCATACTAATACAAGACAATTAGTTAAATTTAGTGCCATAAGTCGTATTTAAAATAGCGTATTAAACACCAAATACAACATAGTTTATTTATACAAGACAAGAATTAATTTATCATACCAAATATCACATTATTCTATTGCAAAGCCAAACTCTACTGTCACTGTTGTGTATTATTTCAGTTAATGCAAAAGTAATTTAATTAACATAATAATAGAAAAAGGATTTATGTACCCCTCTCCTACCTTTTTTATTATTATTTGTATTTTATGTGAATTTTTTATGGTCTTTTTTATATATCAAAAATAGCATAAAATAAGTTTTTTTTTCTTGAATTTTGTAGAGGTAAAAAATTAGGAAAAACTTTATGAAATATAAAAAGTTAAGTTCTTGTAATGTGTGCTCCTTGATTTATTTAGTTTATTTAAATTTGTATTTTATCTTGCGTACAGATAATAAATTATTACTATGAACTAAAATAAATATTTTGAATATATGAATTATATTTTAATTTAAAATTTTAATAATAAATGTTTTAAATTATATTTTAGATTTGACATAAAAAATATATTGTGAGACAATTTTTTAATTATTTATAAATTAAAAAAACATGAAATTCAATTAGAATATAAAAAAGGAAATAATGAATTGAAAGAAATAAAATATTAAAAAATAACCTAAAAACATTGCCCGTAAAAAAAAGTTTTTTGGAAGCCTCTCATTGAAATAGAAAATTCAGATTTTTATTTAGGAATAAACTAAATTTGATATATTTGAGTCTATGTAGTGTTTTTAAACCCTTGAATTTAACAGTTTAAAATGTGTTAATTATACCATCATTAGGTTGATATTATTTATTATATTTATATGATCTTTATTTCTGAAAATATGATATATTTTCTTTGCATTAGACTTTTTAATGTTTTAAACATTAATTTAATTTAAAAATATATAAAATCACTAGTTTTAGTATTGGCTAGTGATTGACAACTATTTTAAAATGAACAAGGAAAAACAGTGTTTAAATTAGTTTAAAAATTAAATTAAGATAATTTACTTACAAAAAATATTAAAATGCTTATTTAATCTTACAATTTTTTACTGATGTTAATTTGTAAAAATCAAGATTAAAATTTGTTTACTTTAGCACCACAAAACCCAGAGATTAAAAATTTAGACCTTTGAAATTTAAGTTATCAAATTTCATGTACAAATGTAATTTTCATATAATCACTCATTTTAAAAAGACATTATAAATTAGCAAAAATGAACAATTATTTTTTAAAATAAAATGAATTAAAAATATAATTTCTAGTCTCTAATTAATTTTTTTTAGCAATCTTAATTTTATTTTATTTATAATGGAAGCACAATAATGACTATGACTCATGCCATTTAAGAGTTTATGTAGTAATTAAGACATGACCAATATTGATTAGGTATTAAAAACAAAATTTTGAAATATATTAAGAAAAAAACAGAAATGATTTTTTTTGTTTTATTCATATTAAAAAGGTGATTATTTTAATTAGCCATAAAAATATGTATTATCAAACAGGTACCTACGATTTTGTTCATTCCACAGTGTGGTGAATTGATCATTAAGTTGATGCGCTCTCACTGATACTTATAATTATAATATCACACTGTGTTAGTTAAACCTTAAGGGAATCAACAAACTAATTTCAACTTCACTCTTCAAAAAACTGAGGAACATGCAGATCAAAAACTGTTACATAGGAAAGATAAAAGCTTACAGAAAGATGGACTGAAATTCAAGAAGAGAGTAATGTAGTAGAAAGAATGGTCTGAATTGTTACTAATATATGCACGTAAGAAACCAGATTGGTATATGATCTGAGAAATGAAGGAATAACACAAACATATACCAAGATTCTGATATAGATGTTGAAACTGACCTGTGATAATTGCAGTGAGGTTGGCAGCATCAATTCCTTCGGTAACCTGTTCTGCAGTACAAGCTGATCCAAAGCCACTTGGACCAGCCCTCCCTGTTACCAACGAAATAACACCCACCATGGTCTCAAATCTTGTAACCTAAATAGAATGTGGAAGCAACCTCAAACCGTTCCTTTCTGAGTTGTGACACCAACTGAGCCTTGTCTAAGAATATATATACACACACATGTAGAGCTATATCTATATATATATAAGCAATTACAGAAAATAGGTTATGAAAGTTAATAGGAGTGGGGCAGTTGCCATGCCAGGTTGTAAATCTTTCTTTTATTTTGAAGTGCATTTAATTATTAGCGGTGAAACACTGACCACACCTTCAACCACTGATGTACCACTCAACCCTTCTTCATTTATGGAAAATAACTGGGTCACAAGCATTCTAGTTACTTCCTTATTTTTAACAACTTCTTAAACACAAGCCATATTGTTTTTATTGTGTAATCTAAAATTTTAGGTTACTATATATAGGTTAACTTCTAACTTCTTCAATTAGGTTAAAAACACTTGTTTAATCACTATTTGTTGTAAATGAAACTACTTTATGACATGCTTTTCACTTAGCCTCTAGCTTCCAACTTCTTATATTAAATTGATACATATTTAAATTAATTGAAATTTAAATTTAAAGTAAATTAAGGATAAATATGTGATAGAAGTATGGAGCTCCAATTTTGAATTTTTTAACTCAAGTTCCACCATAAACAATACCTTAGAGGAAAACAAAGGGTTAATTTTTTTAAAATAGAAAAACTTTCAAAATATTTTTATAGAAATAATTTTAAAAATAAAAAATTTGAAAGTGGTCATATATATCTCGAAGTCATATGGTTACTCTGTTGATATTCTTTAATCTTGATCAGAGAGCGTATTTTTATACCAGAATGTGCACCTTTATTAGAATAAAATTATGATAAAAAAATGAATTATAAAACGAATATAATTATTCACACTACAAATATTGTTTTAATATTGTTATCATAAGAGCAAATTTAATTCAAGCACATGAATCTACGTTTAAATTCAACCTGTTTATAAATTATTATTAAATTTGGATATGGATTATATTTTAAAAAATCAACTTTCATCAGGTCAACTTAATTTTCTTTAATTCATCCACCACCTAATCGATCAATATTTTCTTTTATTTTCTAAAACACGGAACTTAGTAGTATCTTATGAAGCATTTTACCTTAAAATTATCTTTGAGAAATATGAATTTTATTAAAATATAAAAAATTAAACATAATATCATGAATACCATTATTTTTATTCAATAATTAAAATCAAAAACCATTTTTGAGACAACATAAATTTGTTTAAATAGTTATAATAATAACTTAAAATTTGTTCCAAACACGAAAGTTAATAACATTTAATATTAAACAAATTTAATTCATTAATTACCTCACAAGACACAGTAGTGGTACATATGTATCCTATCCATTTTATTTTTCTTATATTTATGATTATTTATTTTTGAATGAATTGGTGCATCTGAATTGGGACGTATACCGAACTACTTTTACTGTAGCAAAAGAGATGTTTTTGGGGTGTAAGTATGATGCCAAAATAGTTTATTGGATAATGATATTTTAACAACTTTTTCATACGTCAATTCTCTTTTGGTTGTGGATCTATTATTATTCTTGTTTGCATCATTTACAGGTTGGACAGTACAATGCAATGAACTGAAGTGAAGAGAGTTGGATTTGTTTTGTTTTCCCTGGAGGGAAGGTAAATGGACCACACAGCAGAATACCAGCCCCAAAAACTTTATCACTCAAACTGTGACATAAATTCACCCTGTTACTGTCATTTTCACTTGCCCTACTTTCGTTGAATCTATCAATTTGATGTCATATTACATATTATTTATACTTATAAAAAATAAATAAATAAAATCACACCCTCGAGATGGTCACCATGTTTACCTAGGTTATAAGGAACTTTTGTATAAAAATAATGAAAAGATAATGAATGATATTTTCTAATTTTTTTTATATGAAAAGAATAATAATAATAATAATAAATGAGATATTTTTTAAAATAATATTTATTTACTCTTACTTAATAAGTATTGTTTATTATATATTTGGTAATTTTTTAAAAACATATTATAAATTATGAAAATATTTGTTGAGAATTAAAACTGAATATTTTGCTCACTTTATTATTGTCAATATTAATGAAAGGAGAAAAAAATGTAATATATAATATGCATGATAAAATGAAAAAAAAATTATGGAGTTTTGAGATGGGAACACTCAAATTAGTCAAACTTTAAATATTATTAGTATCTTTAAATGTAAATGAGTTTATAAAATTAAGTGAAATCACCTTAAAGACTTTTGGGAGTTAGTCTACAAAATTAAACAGAATCCTAACAGGAGTATGAGAACAATACAAAGTTCAATTTTTTTCAAAATAATATTGTAAATAAAAGGAATTTATTATCTTAAAACTTTGTTACATATGATTAAGATTATTAAGTTTTGATATTTTCATCAATTAGATATAAGTAATGTATTTTTCATGCAAATTGAAGTGAGAGGTGTACATGACTACTCTCTTTTAACTTGATGATAACTTTCAACTTTTGTAGTGTTTAGATTCTTAAATTTATTATACAAATTCAAGCAATCAATTCATTCATGATATGAGAAATTGTCAATAATATTGTGAATATAACAAACACACTACACACTTATATCAAAGTCTCTTCTTTATAAGGGGAGGGGAGAATTTTATAACCTTAGAGGAGATGTTCCACTCATACTTTTAAATCAAAGATTTTGCAATGTTAAATTACTTCTCTGGGTTAGAAATAGCAAACTCATAAGTAAAATAATATATTGTTTTAAATTATTGTATGATTATAATTTATTAGGTTAAAAATCAACATTTACACTTACTTAAGATATTTCTTTTCTTAGCCAAAAGTCTTGATAAGAACTTTTTGACCCCTTCCTTATAAAAGTTGGGTGGATTTAATAGGTGTTCAAACATTATCTATATTATTTAACTATTGAATCAGTTTATGTTAAGTCCATATCAATACTACCACTAGAGTACTTTTCAATGCTTAAAAAGTTGTCATGAAGGACTAATTTTTATTATAGAATCAATCATTCAAATCCAATAAATTAGGGAGGCAAGTTGAACTATCTATGTAAGTTCTCACATATCTATTACAGGGTATTATTTATTTATAAAAAAATCTTTGATTTCTTCAAAAGACAAAAAAAAATTATTTTTTAAAGATTATCATCATATGTGGAATATAAAATACTTATTTCTATATATGTGAATTGTAATAGGTCACTTATGTTATTAAACAACATTTATGTCCCTTCTCAATGATCTTGAATCTTGTTTAATAATCAAAATGTGTAAACATGTATTAGAAAATAATAATAATTATAAATCACGTGTGCTAAATATTAATAGATGTTTAATTTCCTTTATCAAAAACTAATAAATTGATAACATTTTATAATTTTCTAAATTATTATATATAAATGATATAATTGTTAGTGATACAAACCTTTGAAATATTTTTTTTATTAAACTGTTGTTAGCTAGTGATAAAATAATGTGACTTCTCAAATAAAATAAAGAAACAACAAGAGCCATCTAAGGACTCCGTCACTCTTTGGTAATATATAATTCTCTAGGTATTTTTAAATTAAATAAATTTTATAAAAAAATAATGGTGTAAAGGTTAATTTAAAATTTATAAAAAAAAGTTATAATGTTTTGTTATTATTTATAATGTTTTAAGATTTTTTTTTTAATTAAAAGCTTCAAATGACTATATATTTGAATTTTTTGTATTATGACTAAAATATTTGTTCACAGAGAAAACTAGTTTTTAATATTTATAAACAATACTTAATTTGTGGTTAAAATAGATTCGTAATATATGAAACATTTACCAATATGAAAATCAGTTTAAATGAGTTATTAGAAATTAAAAACTATGTCATTTTTTTTTGTGTCTGTGTATTTGATGAAAATAATACTATTTAGTTTCTTATCCAAGTTTGAAATCACAATTATGTTTAGTACAAACTAACTAAAATAAAATATTTATTTTCATAAAATTCTCAATATGGATAAGTTAACATTAGTCTTTTAAAATTATGATTAATAAATCATCCATTTAAATATTTAAGTTAATATTATATTATTCTTGTAAAAATATCATAGCGAAAATTAGTTTTTTCAAATGTTTAACGTGTTATTGACAAAGACTTAAAATGTGACCATGTAGCTTAAACCCACATTTTAAGACCAAATTGCATACAAATTGTTAATATAAAGAATGTTTTAGCATTGGATTCTTATTGTCCATGGCGTCTCATCATTCAACAAGACCCCTTCGTCTTCTTTAACCTTAACTTTTGAGGTAAAGGTTTCAGCTTTTAATCGAGTGTTGGAATTGAATGATAAGAATAGTTGATAGCAACGTTCTGAATTGACTCTTGTGAGATTAATGTTGCATGGGCACACCCATACTATACAAATATGGCACCTATAAGAGATCTCAATATGACCTCACGATCCTCCAATCTCTAAGCATTGGCACCTATAAAGAGGCAAAATCAATCACGCAATCTACTTAATTTTCCACATGCTTATGACTCCTCATCATGCAGCATCCATCAACAACAGAATAGACTTTATCATGGACACAGCTAGGGTTACCTCACACCGGCTACTGCCCCCAAAAATTCAAAAACCATTTGCTTTTAGTCAAAGTGTCCAAACTTGTAGGGATATTTTTATGGAACACAACACAAAACTGGGGGAATGTAAAACATCACCAATTTTATAATAAACTACCTTGAACATGACTTGATTGGACCTGTCTATTAAATCACTTTCTCACCTTCAATTGCAATATCAAATCGTCAGAATATTCATTTACTCCAAAACTTGGTTATACGAGTTTATTATGTTTTTAGAAATGAAAAATAAGAAAAAAAAATTGGAATTTTTTTGTATAGACTAAAATTAGTTTGTATGAGATAAAATAAGATTAATAATTTATGTACAAGACGAAGTAAATTAACTATGTATCACAAGAGACTTTATATTCTTTAAATTAAACATATTATCTTTCTTTTATCAAAAGGGGTCCATAGCTCAGTGGTAGAGCATTTGACTGCAGATCAAGAGGTCACCGGTTCGAACCCGGTTGGGCCCTTTCATTTTTTCGTTAATATTTTTTTATTTATTTTATTTTCTTTTACTTCGAGGCCAAATGAAGATAATACTGAACCCAAAACTAGCCCCAAACTTAGCCCACCCATTCGAGCCCAAATGAAGATGATATTGAACCCAAAACTGGCCCCAAACTTAGGCCACGCATTCGAGCCCAAAACTAACTCAACTTAGGCCATGCTTCAAGCCCAAAACTAGCCTCAAACCTAGGCCATACATTCGAGCCCAGAAATAGCCCCAAATTTCGTTATAACGGGCTTCTTATTTGTAATCTTTAGAAAATTCAGTCTCAAATTATTTATTATTTTGGAATATATATATATATATATATATATATATATTATTTACTTTTTCTAGTAATACTTTCAAGAAATTAAAAACTTTTGGTTAAAATTTATCAACGGATTAAATTTATAAAGTATATAATTTTAACATTTTTTATATTTAATTTAGTATTTAATAACAACTTTTTTATTGTAAAACATTAATAAAACAATTAAATTTTTTATTTAACATAAATTAATTTTCAATATATAAAAATCGATTTAAATTTCATAAAAAATATAAGAAAAAAAGGATTTAACCCAATAAAAAAATTAGTTCACAGTGAATGGAAGTGGCAACACTCATGATATTTTAGTTTTGAAGTTGGTAAATAATTCAAAGGGAGTTAGCTTAATTCGAAGGTAGTAAATACTTCACAAGTGGTTGCTTAGTTTATACGTCAAAAAGTTTCAATTAAGTTATTTTCACTTTTTGATGTTATGGTCCTTTCTCTAGGTGGTTGTGGTTTGGTGTTAAAGTTCGATTAATGTATACGTTAAGATCGATTGCATCAAAACCATAACAAAAATTATTAACATTGATTATCAATAAAAAAAAAAACTTCATTCTACTGAAGAGCGCTCTTAATATATTTAAAACAAAACTTAACGTAATTGTTTTATATATTATTCTTAAATTAAATTAGAGTATCACTTTACAAATTTATGTTTATTTTGTACTGTTTTTAATTTATCATATAATCAAAATTTATGGTTACATAACCTCATCTTTTAACTATAAGAAAATTTTAAGCCTAAGGTCTTGTATATTAACTCGTGGGCTTAAAGTTTTTAGTTATTATTAAATAATTAGTAAGCGTATCAATATTATTAATTATACTATAATATTTTGATTAAATAAAGATTGATCATATGATTAACGGTTTTACTAGAAACTCCAACTTATAAGCTTACTAAATATATTAACATGGATTTTTATAAATTTTAGAATTGAACACAAATAGTAAAAAGTTATAAAATGTATTTAGAAAATATGAATTATAAGAATTTAGGATTGACTTATTTCCTTTTTTTTCTTTTGTATAATGGCTAAATCAAATTATGAGCGTTAATTAACCTATCAATATTGATGTTACTTACTCAAATCATTCATATTGATTTCTCACACATGAAATTCATAAGAAAACCTAATAAATATCGATTTTGCATACATTTAAGAGATTTTTCAGGATTAGGTGCTAGAGTGTTAAGCAATTAATACATTTATTACCATTCATAGCAATTAACATATCAAATATTTTTAACCTAATATAGGGTTTCAAGATATATTTTTTATTACATCTCAAACATCAAAGATAAACATTAAAGAGTACAAAGGATAAGAATATCAACATCAAGAATATAAATTAAAATATCAAAATATCACTAAGATGCAAAATAGTTTAAAGAAAGTGCACGCAATCCTAAAAGAATGAAGTTAGTCACTCATTGTGATAATTACAATTATCCAATAAAAAAGAATTCAAAAAAATTTGAAGATTGGACTAAAACTGAAATAAATGTTGTCTCTCTTCTCAAAATCTCAAACCTTCATTTTTTATCTTTTTATATAAAATTTGTGCGTCATTCACTCAAATGAGTATTGATAATTTTTGTTCAAGCGACGTCCGTCTCGCTCGAGCAAGTCTTACATTGAAAATCTTATTATTTTTTTTTTAATTTCTTTAATTAACTTGAGAATTATGATATTGTTCTTATACCCAAATATTCTGTAAATCCATAATACATTAAAAGAAAAATAGATTAAAATTAACATATAATTTAAGTGATTAAATAATTATATAAACTTTTGTCACTTAATCGTTATTTATTTGATATATATTTAGTATGTATGTTTTAGTCCGAACAAGAAAAATAAGAAAACCTTATAAATAGTAAAAATGTGAGTTTAAATTATTTTTAATTATAATATATATATATATATATATATATATATATATATATATATATATATATAACAATAGACATTCTTTAATTATATATTTTTAATTATTAAATACTGAGAATATTTAATATAACAATTGAGATCATTTAATTAGTTAAAATAAAAATATATTAGAAAATATATTATATAAATTATTAATAGTAATAGAATTACAGGCGCTATTATATTGTATATCCAAATTTGTATGCTAATAAAATTAATGTAATTTAAAATTTAGTTTTTAACTAGTTACTAAAATATTAAGATAAAATTATAAGTTTTTTAAAAACGTAGTTAAAAAATATTATAAAACACATATATATTACGTATTAAAAAAATGCTGTTACAAAAATACTCACTTAGACAAGATGATGACTGCAATTGTTTATATTGTAGCTGTAATCACAAAATCCAAGGAGAATTCACATCACAAAACGACAATATACAGTGTCGCACTTTCTCTTCACTGCAAGTGCAAGACAGGTAATTAATCACCATTTAGAAACATACCACGTTATTATAATTTCGTGCTTACTTATTTATTTATTTAAAACATCACTTGAATATACGGACGAATGTTTTCCCCTCTAAAGTCAAATCCCTAAAACAAATAAGTAAATTTATAAATAATTTTAAATTCAACATACATTTAAAATTGAATAAAAAAGTCTCTTCTATACTCTTTCTGAGTAGGCCATATTACAATTATAATTTTCTTTAGTTCTGTGATTTTGAATATTTTTACAATTTAAATTTCAAATTAAAAAAATAAAAAATTATTCTTTTCTTTAAGCATTTTTTATTTATTTTAGTTTAATTAGATTTAAGTATATCATTTCTATTTTAGATAAATATTTTTAAAATTAGACGAATCATTAATAAATAAAAATATTAATTTAAATTTAAAATTTTAATAAATATTAAATTAAATGTAATAAAATAATATTTATACATATAATAAATTCATTAATAATAACAAATTAAAAATAATAATAAAATTTATCATCATAATTAAATTTTAATGAATATTACAAATATAATATATATGATTATAAAATAAATAATAATTAAAATATATATAATAAAATAATTATTATTTAAAATTAAGAGATTAATGGAAAATAAAAATTATAAATACTATATCTTTCATAAAATAAAATAATTGTATTTTAATATTTAATATTTACTTTTTTTATTAAAACTTATTCTACATATTTTTTTAATTGTATATAATTTTTTTATTTCATAATAATTAAATTAAAATTCAATTATGTAAAATAGATTTTCAAATCAGTTTTTAGTTTAACCTATTAATCTGATCTGTTTTTAAAATGATGTTTGAGATATGATCAAGAGATAATTTAATTAGTTAAAATTAAAATAAATATCAAAAGTAAGAATATTATAAAATCTAAAGTAAAGTTAGCATTTATGTTTTCAAGTAACATTAATTTTTTGTAAATAGAAAATAGAGTTAGTTTATACCTGGTTTAAGGAAATATAGTAGGAATTAGAATATTGTAATAACAAATATAAAATTAGCAAATAGGAGTTTGGAAAAGAATTATAGCGCACCAAGTCAGCATGCAATAACCGGGTCCCAATTTTACGGTGTCGGTGATTCACCAAAATCCCTCTTCCATTCTCTCTCTCTCTCTCTCTCAAGTCGGGACCCATTATACTCGTTCATTCATTCGTGTTCCCAATCTCTTTCTTTTCTTTCTCAATTTCCGTTTCTAATCTCTGCACCTTTCAGTTGAAAAGCCAAATCAATTTCGATGGCTTCGCGGCGGCTCCGGGACCTCCAATCCCAAGCGGCGAACAAGATCTGCGTCGACTGTTCCCAGAAGAATCCGCAATGGGCGTCGGTGTCGTATGGCGTTTTCATGTGCCTAGAGTGCTCCGGCAAGCACCGTGGCCTTGGCGTCCACATCTCATTCGTCCGATCCGTCACCATGGATTCCTGGTCCGAAATACAGATCAAGAAGATGGAAGCAGGAGGCAACGACAAACTCAACGCCTTCCTCGCGCAATACGGCATCGCCAAGGAAACCGACATCATCGCCAAGTACAATTCCAACGCCGCCTCGGTCTACCGCGACCGCATCCAGGCAATCGCCGACGGACGTCCCTGGCGGGATCCCCCCGTCGTCAAGGAGAAAGTCCACTCCTCCGCCTCCAAGGGGAAGCCGCCGCTCTCCGCCAGCAACAACGGCGGCTGGGATAATTGGGACGCGGACGACGGGTTCGGATCGCCTCGGGTCGGATCCGATCTGCGGCGGAACCAGTCCACCGGCGATGTCAGGGGGTTCGGTAGTGGAGGGAGCGTGTCAAGGTCGAAGTCGACGGAGGATATGTACACGCGGGCGCAGCTGGAGGCCTCTGCTGCCAATAAGGAAGATTTCTTCGCGAGGAAGAGGGTGGAAAATGAATTGCGACCGGAGGGGCTTCCGCCGTCGCAGGGTGGTAAGTACGTCGGATTCGGATCTGGCCCCGCCCCGAACCACAGGGTTAATCAGCAAAATGATGTTTTCTCTGTCGTTTCTCAGGTCACACCATCAGAACTGTTTATTTTTTAAAATGGGAAACTGTATATCAATATTAATCTTAATGTATATCGTTGAGACCTTTTCTATTAATGTGATGTATTTTCTGTGTTTAGGGATTTGGTAAATTGTCGTTGGCTGCTGCTTCTGCGGCTCAGTCTGCTGCGAATGTCGTTCAGGCAGGGACTAAAGAGATCTCTGCGAAGGTAATTGTTTTGTTTTATCTGTTTGATTTATCGTGGACAAAACTTAGGTGCAATTTCATGTATTAGATATAGGCATTTTTTTACTGTTCGCGTAATCAAGGGAACCCATTTCTTAGTTAATCTATTGAAAAACGATTTATGGAGAAATACGTGAGATTAAACGGTATTGGATATTTTTCTCCAGACACCACACACGTACGTATGCATGATTGAATTTTCTTGTTGGAATTGATAATACTATTTTTGGTGTACAAGGTTTGAGTGAGAATAGTTTGTTAATACATACATAGTAATTGTTACGCTTCCCTTGAGTTTTTTTGCCTTGATTCTGAGGATTGGGAATATGCAACGAAGTGAATACTAATTTTTTGACATGCTTAGATTTAAATCAGAGCGTAAGACAATTTACTAATTCTTTCTAGCAAGTTTCTTGGAAGTAGATTTACAATATAATTGGTAATTATTTAAGTCCTACATCTACGTTTTTTATTGTAGGGGATAGGATCCTGTTATCTTGTTCAGGAGCATACTTATATAATTTTTAAAGTTTATAAAAAAATATTCAATTAGATAAAAAAAACTCTTAACTTTTCCCTGTAATTATTTTTGTGTCGTTTTTTCAATGTAAGTGATACTGTGTTAATTACTCTTAATTATACATTAGAGTATGCAAAAAATAATTTAAAAAGTTGGAAAATTATCATTTTTAAACAGCGGGAGAATAAAATATTCTTTCCATAACTCATACAAGTTTTTTTTTTTTTTAAATATGGAAATTAAAATGTGCTGGTATTGTTGTTGTGACCATTCATAGTTTGTGTGACACATTTAAGTAGAAGCCAGCCATGGCCCGGCATCATACTGCTGAAAAATGGATGGTTTCACATTTCAGATTCAAATCATTCTATACTTGCTTAATACTTCAATAATAATGAATGATTAAATTTAAAAATGAGATGCACCTCACAAATACCATGTATTGAAAATTAAAACCTTTCCTTACAAATTCACTGCATTTCTGTATAGGAGTTTTTCTTTATAAGTATTAGTTATATATTGCAGTTTACGTTAGTTTGTAGCCGTATCCTGTTTTAGATTGGAAAGAGAAATTCCCATGCCTAAGATAAAGTTTTAGTTTTTTTCTTTTAACCTGGATGGTGCCTTAGGAATTGTGTATGTTGTAAATATCATTCTATGGTTGATTCTGTTTTAAAGAAAGGTTGAAAAAGGCGGGAATTAAATTGCTTATCAAATTTCTCCAGCAATTTTATTATTTGCGTTCAGTGGTTATTCACTTCCTGAATTAACTGTATTTATTGTTTCAGGTAAAAGAGGGTGGTTATGATTACAAGGTCAATGAAACTGTCAATGTTGTCTCTCAGAAGACATCAGAGATTGGACAAAGGACATGGGGTATAATGAGAGGGGTCATGGCACTGGCTTCACAAAAGGTTGAAGAATACACTAGGGATAACCCAAATTCGACGTCTGAGAACTGGAACCAGAATGAAACTAATAAAAACGGTTTCTATCAGGACAACAAAGGCTGGAATTCTTCTACCAGAGAAGGACAACAGTCTTCGGGTGGACAAACTAATTCGTATCACTCAAGCTCTTGGGATGATTGGGGCCACGAAGGTTCTAGGAAGGAAGAACCTGCTAAAGGATCGGCTCATCATTCATCAGGTGGGCAGTCTGATACTTATAACTCGAGCTCTTGGGATGATTGGGACCATGAAGATACAAGGAAGAAAGAACCAGCAAAAGGGTCTGCTACCCGAAGTAGTGATGGTTGGGCTGGTTGGGATAATGCCAAAGATGATGGAGTTGATGATATGTACGGGAATGCATCTAACAATAAAGCTGCTGGCCATAATGAGAAGGCGGGTGTTGCCTGGACAGGAGGAGGTTTTCTCTAAGGTTTGTATGATGGGGTACTACAGAAGGGGGACATAGAACTTAGGTAAAAGAAAAGGATCCATTGAAAACTATGACATTTTGTTTGAATGGCTTACACTTAGAAACACTTTTATTAGCCCACATACGGTTTTCACTTGAAAAAAAATTCTCGACACAACCCAGAATCTTCTTTCTGTCCCATTAGAAACATTATCTCCCATCATGACCAATGCATCAATCAATGATTACCCTTTTTTAGTTTAGCAAGCGTCACTTCAGAACCTGTTGAGTTTCCAATTTGTGCTACTTGTTTGCATTGTGGAAAAGGAGCTTTTGTATGTAATGCGGTCAGCATCTTCATAGTTGAATTCAGTATTTTAGGTTTTTCATCTGTTATTATTTTGATGTTTAATATCTTTGTCATAGCTCTGATTTCTAGTACACACGTACTGAAATGCGATTTGTTATATATCTTGAACCAGGAGTAACCTTATCTCTATCATCAGAATCAAAGTTTTGTTGTTCGTGACAACAATACAGTACCTATTCGATGATGGCATGCGAACCGAGCAGGGGTGTTGTTTAAACTATGGTTGTGACTTGATTGTCAACTACAAGTTTGTTGGTCATATTAAATTCATGCCCCATTTGTGCTGGAAGAATGATATTTTTTGAGGTCAGCCTATTGTCTGCAAGTCTTTATTTTTCATTGTTATCCCATCCTCGGGTAATTTTTCTGCATTTTTTTGGGGACTTCTGTATGGTTGGAAACGTAGTTCTATATGTGCAAGTGTCTAAAGAAAGGGCAAATTGCCCAAATTTATAATTACTTCTACCTGGAAGTGTGATGAAACATTATTGTGACTCGATAATTTCATAATTGTTTTGAGTTTATAGCAATCTAATTTGCCTAATTTGTGGTGGCACTTGCTCTATATTGAAGTCGTGGGTCTTATTTGTTATTTCCCAATAATTTGTCATTATCAATTGTATAAAAAAACATCTCTATTTTCGGGAGCAAGCTTAGATCTTAAAGTATAGTGGCGATATACTTACACCTCCCCTGGTAGTTTTTAATTATTTCTTTTGAAGGTGGAGCAAGATATAGATCGATTTGCAGGTTACCCTGCTCAGTTGTACAGGGAAAATACTTCTTATAAAAGAAAATTAAATGGTACAGAGATAATACTTAAAAAGAAAATTAAATATTTTTCGTAACTCATCGACTTTACATATATACTTATCGGATTACATAGTTCTTAAATATGCGTGGAACAACAGAGGTAATGGTAGTAGTCCTTTCCTTTGTTTATTGCACGTGGGAGCCTATTTCTTTAGGTGGGCGACACGGCCTGATGTCGTTTTATCTACGTTGATTGTTTGTTTATTCATATTGATATCCTTTTATAAAGGGATGGTTCAATTTCTTAGATATTATTGTTAATCCCAATATTCTTGGCAATTACTGTCTTAACTAAACTACTTTCATTTCATTTGGATTCATGAAACGTGTGTCCTGTATAACGAGCAAGGAACTGGTAATTCTGTTACCCGAACAGGCAAAGAGATCTCCAATGGGCCCCAGCTCGGCATGCTCTATGTTTGGCTCAAGTTGTTGCTGTTGTTGTTTCCCCACAATGACTAGGTCGCAATCCTTACTTTTCCCAATTGATAACACCTCTTCTGTTATGTTGGTTACGTTCTTTTCCATATACTCCACTGACTCCTGCCATTTAGCCTTGAACCCGTTCACTGCCTCCTCATCCAACTCCTACGCATCACATTTAAATTTGTCAGAATGGCAGGCCCTTGATGATATTTTCTAGTTATTGATTCAAGTAAATGAGAACAGAGTACAGATTATTTTTTATGTAGTTACTGGCAGTATGATTATTTATTTGATTGGGTAAATACCTTTTCTATTTCCCAGTGGTTCTGTCTAGGTCCCTCGTCCCCAGATTGTGTGCATGAAGTGAATCTCACTAAAAGCAGCGTAATTGCTGGATGCTCTGCCATTCTGTTACCTAACTCCAAAACCTTGCGATCATGTGGTCCACCAATGAAAATCATGCACACCCTTTTCCTTGCGATGACACTGGTCTCAGGTTCTTGTTCGTACCTTCTGCTGGCCCCACGGTTGACTAGCACTGCAACAGGGCAGGGTGCATTTTGAAGCACCCTCTGATTGACTTCGCTCCAACCCTGCCCCATGTCTTGTGTCACCTCTTCATCTGCCCCACCCCACCTCTTGTGGAAGGGCAATATGATCATTCCCACACCTTTCTTTTCTGCTACGTGACATATGTCCTCGTGCATTGTAGACAATAAGGATATAGATGTCAAATGATGCACAGTCACTCGACCCACTTCACCATAAGCCTGGAACGCTGTGGCAATTTGCTCATGCATTGGACCCCTTTTGAATCGGTTGATGAAGGGAAAACCATTCTTTCGGCTGCGTTGAACCATCATGATGGAGGAGGAGCTATTGGTGAGTTCAGTAAGTTGCATGACGTAGAGTTTGAGGTGAGACTTGTTGGAGGATCGAAATGATTCAATGAAGTTGATTAGTGAAGTTATGTTGTAAGTTCCATGATGCAAGCAAGAATACGAAGCTTGGATTCTGTGAGCCGGGACAGGTTTTGCGGAATGGAGTTAATAGGAGAGGGTTTATATATGGCCAAGACAATTGGAGTTGTAATGAAGGTGGTGAAGAGAGCCATGAGCACAAGGATGGTAAACATCTCGTCGTTTAGAACCTGCTTAACCATGTAGTAATCGTACATTAACAACGATTTATAAAATAATCAAACTCCTCCCATTTCTAATTCAGGAAGTGACTGATATACTAATTTTAGGGATTTTTTTTATATATAAAGATAAAGACATTATTCCTTTTTATAAAGTATGGTAAGTACAAAAGCTAAATAATATCTTCTATTTATTTATATTAAGATACTTCATAAATTTAATTAATTTTAAATCAAATACATTCTCACTTTTTCTAATTTTAGAAAATTGTTTACCGGAATTATTAATCAAACTATTTGTTCTCATACATCTTAACAAAATAAGGTTATTAAGAGAAAAATTTTGATATTTGTGTTTGAGACACATATATCTTTGTGTTATTGGAAAAAAAATTCTTGTTTTGATATTATATTTAATAAATTAGACTCTTTTATGTTTTATTAAGTTTAAAACATTTTTTTAATTTTTTATTATTTAATTGTCATTTTAATAGTTTCTAATTTACTTCCTTATGTATCTAGGTGTGTTGCATTTGTTCTTCGTCATAAATATCAATACATAAGATTGATCCCACCGATCATTTAATGTGTTTTTGTTGAATATATTGTTTATAGGAAAAATATATGTTATCGCTCTCCTAGTCATTGTATGTATATAATAATAGATGTAGTTTTCTATGAATGCACACTATATTTGTCCTCTGAGTGATTTTCAGGAAGGGAATCAACAAAAAAACCAAGAAATACAAACTTAAAAGTATAAAACCTAAACTCTAAAGTCTAATATGAATCTAAGTGATGCAATATCATATCATCTTGTTTACATATTAAGTATAGTCAGCCATTTTATGCATAATCCTGGAAAATAACCTATAAGTGCAGTAATATGCATTTTAAGATATTTAAAGCCAACACTGGGAAAAAAAAATGATTGTTCGCCAAAAATACAAATTTTCAGCAAATAGATGTATATAAGATGCTAATTAGATTGGAAATAGATAATCAACGTCAAACTACTCTACATTTGTTAGTGATAATCTTGTTATAGAGGAATAAAAGACAAAATGTGGTTTTTCGTTTATTTGAGTTCAAAAGTTGAGTTTAGATGGTTGATACTTCAAATTTGTGAAAGTTTTTACTAAGGTTCCTTAACTACTCACCCACACAACCTATTAATTTGTATTGGGGTAATAGTATTATGTGTCATATTATCTATAATCTAGTATGACATTATTGAATAAAATATATTAAAGTAGATAGATTTTTTATCAAAAAATTATTTAAAAAATTGTAAAATTGATTATAATTCATTCAAAAAACTATTTAATTGATATTTTAAGAAATATTGTCTAAAATAAAGTATTTTCAAAATTTCTGGTTAAATTGAGTATAAGATTTATATGCATTAACTTAAAAGAAAGTGTTAAGATTTACTTTTTTTTTTTTGAAATATTAGTGTACAAATTGTATATTACTTTATTAAGATATAATATAATTTTAAAATATTTTATTTTAAAAAAAAACATAATTAGGTGCATATATTTTTATAATTTTATATATTCAATTTTAGATCTTTCTTTAGTTCCATTTCTAAGCTTATCTTTATTAAAAAATCTCGTATTAAAGAATATGTCAAATATTTTATAATAGTTCAATATTCTTACCCTAACTTTAAAGAAATAAAACTAATAACTTAAATTTTTTTATTAAGATTACTTTTATTTCAAGAAAAAAGTGAACAAAATTATACGTTATTTAAAAAAAATTAAAAAAATTAAGTGTTTATATAAAATGATATTAATAACCAAAGTAGAAGTATACAAAGTAAAATTTTGTTTGGTAGTGGAGAAGGAAATGAAAAAAGAGAAAGTGATGAGTACATTATTATGCACACTAAATTTTTAGATAAATTAGATATTAATAATCAATTAGTCTTATAGTGAATCTTTATTTAAATCGTTTAAAAATACGTTAGAGTTAAATTAATCTATCTAATAAAGTATAAAATAATGCTTAAAAAATTAAATATATATTAAAAAATTAATTCGATTGTTAAATTGAAATAATTTCATCAGTGTAGGAGGAGATGAAGTTACACACTTGATAAATTCACAAAAATAATGATGATAAGCAGTGCTGACTATCGCAATCTTTAGAAGAGGTGACATGGTAATGGTAACAAGCAAATAGGTCCAATAATATTCACTAAGATATGGACTCTCATATTATTCTAAAATTTTAAATTTAATTTATCTTACAAAACCATCTTATAAGTTAACATATGTTTAAACTTGATAAGCTCTCATAAGAAATTATCTCTAATTAACCTTAATATGTGTGAATAATTAAACTTTAAAAGGACTTTTTGTTGAATATCTTATATTTCTATATTCTCATCACGATGCTTTTCATGCGGAGGACTTTCATGGTGGCTACATTTGGTCTGTCACTTTTATCTATTATAATCGATTCTTTTTTACAAAAAATAAGAATTTTGTTAATGATTTGATGTATTTGAAAGAGAGGGACAAAGAAGAAGGTAAGAGTAACTTTTTTGCTTGACAACCTATGAGAGAATATATATAGTTGTAAATGCAAGAACCAATAATGATGAAGAAAAGACATATCAGTGAGCTTGGAGGTGACACATTGAGTCATATCAGTATCTATTTTCAAACATTTCATAACTGTACGAGGAGATAAAGTTAAATTGAACCAATAAAGATAAAGAACTCACCTTTTTCTCTCTCCCAATATTGAGAACTATTAGCTCCACCAACCCTTTGGTGTTCATCAAAACTCCAAGAGTCAACGATTCCCTGAGAGGCACCATGCACATCACTGCCACCGCAAAAGTCCCCAGAATCTTCCCAGCACAAGCCGTGCACGTGACGAACAAAAGAAGTCCCCAATCCATCATACGGTGGAGCTTACTCACATCAGTTTTCAAACCACTTGAAGCGAAGTACAAGGGAAGCAGCAACGTGGAGACGAAGTCCTCTATTCTTCTGGTTAATCTGCTTGCAAATTCACTTTCCTTGGGTATGGTTAGTCCAAAAATAAAGCCTCCAAAAATTGAATGTATACCTATTATGTCTGTCATGAACCCTGCAAACATTACTCCTGCAAGGGTTAAATATACGTGCGTTTCGGATAACACGTCATGTTCGTGACAACACTTATTCGCAATTCTGTTCATCAGGGGTCGAACGAGGATCATCATCAACGCCACAAACGCCACTCCTAAAACCAGACAGAACCAAAACTTCTAAATAAAAATGTTAAATATAAAAACTAACTATTTTATAAAAATAATAATATTATATATTAATATTATTTATTAAAAATTTAAATTTTAATATATAAATTTATTTTTATATTTTTAAAATAAATCTACAATTTTATTTTTAAATATCTTTAAAACTCATAAAATTTTTTATTCATATTTAACATTAAAATAAAAAAGTATAAAATATTAAAATAATTAACTAAATTATATCAATATTTTATAGTACATTAATATTACACTAAACATGTTATTTTATAATAATATATAAAAATAAATAAATTTGTTTATTATTTTTATTTTAAAAGAATTATTATAACGTATTTATCTATTTATGTTTTTAATTTTTTATCTTATATTTTTTTGAACACAAGATAAAATAAAATTAAAGAATAAAAAATTATAAAATTTATAATATAGAGATAAATTATAAAAAAATATAATTTTTATAATATAAGAATAAAAATGAATTAGTGATAAATATAAAAATATAAAATAAATAAAATAAATATGTAATAGAAAAATTGATGAAAAAATAAATAATAAGAAAGAAAAATTATAAATAAAAATTGTGTAAAAAAATAAATATAATATTTATTATAATAAAAATTTAAGTAAAAATAAATAAAAAAATAAATTTATTTATATTTATCAAATAATTTTTATTTATTAAAAAAATATTTATTATATATATATATATATATATATATATATATATATATATATATATAATATTTAATTTTGGGTGCCGGACCGTGACCCCTTTTCTCCGGCTCTGTGCCTGAAGCATTATATCTATTTCTTCACCTCACGTATATTTGTATATTTATTTATTATTTGTTTTTGTCTTCGTAATTTAAAGTTAACTTTTTTCTTTAAAAATTTAGTAAGTAAAAAGTTTTTTCTTTAAAAATTTGGTAGGACATCTTGTTACTTTCAAAAATATAAAACAAACATTTATTATATTATATTGTTTTAAATAATTTAATATTGATTTTATTTCATTAAAAAAATTAATAAATTTAAAAATAATTATTCTCTTTTCTTATTTATTTTAAGTTATTCATTTTTATAAATTATTTAATGAGATAATTATTAAAAAATATTAATAACCAATTATTCATTCAAGTTAAAATTATTATTAATTTTATTAATTTTTGTATTTTATTGATTATATAATTTATTAGAAGAGGTGAAAATTTTTTTATTAAAAAAATATTAGTTGAGTTAATGAATAACTAATTTTAATAATATAATAATAATAATAATAATTAATATTATTATATTATTAAAACGGGTTATATAATATTTTAGTGATCCACATATGTTATTCTTTTACTAATTTAAAAGATTCTCTAATTTAAAAATAAAGCTTATACCTTTTCATTTTAAATATGTACACTAATATTATGTGAGATTTTTTTATTATGATTTTAAACCATTAACTATATTATATTTAAAATAATAGAGTATACTTTTCGCAATTTAAAAATAGGATTGGAATAACGAAATTATAAATATGATAACCGATTCTAAACAAATAAATTTAAAGGAAATATAATTTATTTATAAATTAGGATTTAATTAAAACTTAGAGAGAGAATTTCACATTCACTAATAGTGTAACTATCTACAAACACACTATTCTTTTATTTGTATATTGATTAATTTAACGAATACACTGCTTGTTTCTAAAATTAAATTAATGATATCTAAGTTTAAAAAATTAGTCACTAAAATTAAATTAATATATAAACTTAAATAACTAAAATTTCTGATCAGCTATTTTAAATATAAATTTAATAATTATTTCAAAAAGCCAACAAATATAAAGTATATATTTGAAAACTAAAAACATTTAATTCTAGAATAGTTTATAAATCGTTTTGTATAATTACTACAGTATATTTTATCTAGATCGATTTTTATTAATGAATTTTTTTATAGACAATTCCCTTTAAACCCACCATCTTTAATTTATATATTTAGATTTCAATAGTATTTTTAAAATAAATTACCAATAATCTGATCTCATATCATAGTTTAAATTTTTACTATATGTAATGAAATTTATTCATTTATTCTTAATTGTAATTATAATAAGTTTTATAAGTAGAAAAATTATTAATTATATCAAAATAAAAGTGTATTTTCTACAATAAACAAAAGCAAAATACTAATTGATACAAAATATTAAAAGTAAATAATTTTACTTATTTTCAATTATAAAAAAATATATTTAGTTGGTTTTTAAATTTACCATACGCACTTGTGTTTTATCTTTAATATAACTAAATCAAGGATGTGGAATTCTAAACTTAAGTTCAAACATTATAATAGAATTTAAAACTAGTTAAATTTAATCATAGTTGTAATATATTATAGAATTGTTAACTTTATAAATAAAAGTTAATAAAAATATACTTCAAAAGCATAATTTTAGAATAATTATATATAACTTAATAAATTTATAGTATATTAAGGTAAACACAATTATTGTTTTACCTGTTAAGTCCATATTTTTGTCATCTTATAAAAATATAATATTATAAAAAATAGTTTTGCATGCAAATATTTGTTTAATATGTAGAATAAACTCATTAATACACTAAAAACAAAATATAAAATAGGATAAAAAAATAACGAAAGAACAAATATAAATATAATAAAAGAAGATATAAAAGGATGATGAAAAAAAAAAAACTTACCCGTAAAAGGTGAGAAAGAGAGCATATGTTTACTTTATAGAAAATATAACAAAAAAATGTGCATGTGATATTTTCTCTTAATTAAAAGAAAAAATATTTACATATTGAAAAGAAAAATTAAACAATTGATGTATACCAAATCAGATATTATTATTATTATTATTATTATTTAAAATTTTAATGAAATGAAAGTGAAAAAAAAAAGAATATATTTCAATAATAATTATTTAAAAAACTATATTTTAGTTGATGTTGAAATCACTTATCTGTAAAAATATAAATAAGATTTTTAAAATTTCAAGAATGAATATGATCCAATAAATACTGGAGAGATGATATATTGACAACCATCAGAATATAAATATAAAAAATAATATTATATTATTAAATGGAAGATGTTTATAAGAGGATGTGAAAATATATTTTTCCTAAATATTGCACCTGATAGTAGCACCCATAATGATGTGAGCAAGCTCCCTTTGTGTCCCTGGCCAGCCAAAGCCACCGCCAAGGCCAATAAAACCCACGCCGCCATGTCATTGAACGCCGCCGCGGCCATGGCAGTCTCTCCGAGACTCGTGGTCAAGAGCTTGAGCTCAGCTAAAATGCGCGCGAGCACAGGGAAAGCTGTGATGGACAGAGCAACACCTAAGAAAACCAAGTGCTGAAGGTACCCAAAGTTCTGGTTCTCAGACCCAACGGCTCTTTGCAGAAGGAACGTCACTCCCGCGGCAAAGATGAACGGCAGCGTTATTCCGGCCACCGCGATGTTGAAGGCTCGCTTCCCGCTCCGGCTAATCGTGGCAAGGTCAAGCTCCAAACCCACTAGAAAAAGGTAAAATATGAGGCCAAGACTCGCCACAGATTCCAGCATCGCAGTGCTCCACGATGGGAACACTGTGTTCATGAATGTTTTGTTGCGTCCAAAAGCAGAAGGTCCCAACAAAATTCCACCCTGCAAAGTAACATATTCATTAAACACATTTTTCTTATGTTCAGAACACATTATACAAAAATGAAAAGTCATGTCTTACAATCTTATAAAAATATAAAGGTTTCCTGTATTTATATTTTGTAATTTTGTGTATACAAAAATAGATTATAAATACCCTTTTCTCCTTTAATTCATCACTCAAAACCATCGTGAGGGAGTGATCCAAGCTTGATTTGTGAAAATTTGTAAATAGTGAATTCAACTTACAATGATTTCGGCTACGACTTTGGGTTGGCGAAGGGGTTTGAGTAGAAAGGCGAGGGTGCGACTAAGAAAAAGTACGAGAATGGTTTGAATGATCAACAGAGGGAGAGCGTGGTTGAGAGGATTATCGCCCTGCCACGCTCCCTCCGACGACGTCGTTCTGATCATGCTGGTTGTGTTCATCTTTGTCATGGACAAGTACAAGAGTGTTTTTTTTTTTTTTTTCTTTCTGAAAATACTAACAAACAGAATCCTGTGAAGGCCAATACTGGTACGGTATGCTCAACTGTTGGAGAAACAGTGCTTTTTATAGCCCAAGAGTGGGGAAAAAGAGCCAACTATTGGCTGGGAGAAAGAAAGAATCAATAAAAATAAGAATTCATGTAAAAAAAATAAGATGGAAGTGAAATGACAAACAGGGTAATATATAATAATGATATTAACTAATTAATCAAAGATGATTTTTTTTTCTTTGGAGATTAACAAAAAAGGCAAAAAATGCTTAATAAAATTAATTTTTGAAAATGATTTATAATTTTTTTAAACTACAAAACAGAAATATATTTAAATTTTTTTCTTAAAATTTTATATTTATATTTCTTACCTTAAAAAAAAATTTGCAGTATCAATTCCGCCAAAGGTTTAATCAAAATTTAATTGACATTAATCAAATAATATTTTTATAATATAATAAATATATAATAAATTAATTAATAATTTTTTATTAATTATTATTATAATCATTATAAATTATAATAAAAATTATAATTATAAAATATATTAGAAAAAATAAAATGCATAATGATTAAAATAAAATAAAAATATGTTAAAATAATTATTTTTTAAAATTGATATAATTAATATGAGATAAAATAAAATAATTAAAGTGTGTTATAATTTTTATAAAAAAAGTATAGTAAAAAATTTAATATTGTTTTTTAAGTAATTTTATTCTAATTTAATTATTTAAAATTAACTAATTGATTTCTACTTTCTCTGTTAGAGCGGTTGATCTCAAGCGATATTAAGTTCAGCTGGTGATAGTGAACAACATTTCGCTTGCAGATTGAGTTTAGAATTTTTGATGTGGTGTGGCATCTTCTCTTTGGATCTCAAGAAGGATTTTATGGTGGGCAGAAAATCTGTGAAAGTTGAAGTTCTTTTATATTATTTTTGTAAAATTTTATTTAGAGGTGAGATTTATAACATTAATCTATTTATATTTAAAATAATTTCACTCCATTATCCAAACAAATTCCTAATATATATAAATATAACCTACGTTTAGAATATTTTCATTCTTCAAATTGACTCATCACGACAAATTGATGACTCTAGTCTTATTAAAGTTGCGTGCTATTTAGGCTAAGCATATATACGTATATGAAATATTATACATTTAAAAAATTAATAAACTTATAAATTAAATCATTTGTTTAAAAATTTTGAACTCTATATAACTATTTCACATGTAGAGCAATATTAGTAATATAAAATTTGGAATATTCTTTATCACTAACTTTTGATTTCTAAATTTAATTAAATCATTTCACAGATAAATTCTTTTCTAAAAAATGAGCATATCAACTGGTATATATTCAAGGTTATGTTCGGCGGAACAATTAAAAGTCTATTTTAAAGATCATAGGTTATCACCTAAAAGGCCTGATAAACTAACTTGTTAAAATAGAATTTTTTATAAAACTAGTTGTTAAAGAGTATAATAAATATAAAATGACATAAAGTAATATATTCGTATTTTATATATATATATATATATATATATATATATATATATATATATAATTTTATTGATTATCAGTTATATAGCAAATGGAATTAAAACATTTTCTTTAGATAAAATAAAATTATAGATATAAATAAAATATATATTTACAAAAATTATGATATTTTTTTAGATTTATTAAATTGCCATATTTTTAATATAATAAATATATAATTTTTATTTAATAAAAATACACGTTTTTCATTGGTATATACATTTATCTTTTGAAATATTTAAACATAATAAACCTAATTACTATTTCGTTAAATCTCAACACCGATAACAAATGCATGCATCTAGCTCGAATCATTGTATAGTTGTTTTTCCGCTTATTTATTTATATATATAATTCCAACCAAATGGGAGAAAGACATATTAAAATAACAATTAAGAATAAAAGTTAAAAAAAAAACTACTGTAAGTTAATTTATCAATTAATATTTGCAATTCATTGTTTTTGTTGTATAATAAACTAAAATTCTTTTTTGGTGAAGAAGAATAAATCAAAGTTTTTTCCTCACTGACAACATCAAATTATAGATCTTATACCTCTATCAAATAAATACACAACATCTTTTCACATTACGAGGAAACAGTTAAGACCCTGCCTGGATTTATTGATACTGTAAGACTTATTTACCTTATCACTCACTGCAACTTTACTAAATAGTTATATACTGTTATTAAAACAAGAATCAGAGCACAAATTAATTAAATAAAAGAAGATTATCAAATCTGATTGCACAATCTTCCCTTTTCGTTTTACAGCCTTACCATAGTTATCCTTTTCCTTTTGTTGTCTCTGCTACATTCCGTTAAAGCATTTGCTGAGCTGCAATATGTCGTGCTGCAATATGCCGTGCTGCATGTACCTTTTCAGTTATCCTTTTTTGTCATCTTTCATTTCTTTAGGGTACACAAATTATATATATATATTCCATTTCATTGATCATTCAAAGGTACACAGAAAGAGGATTTTTCCTACATTTGTCTCTGAGCCTTCCTTTCTCTATCTTTGTGTTTTTCTATTATGGTATGAGAGCTCTTCATTGGAGCTCTGCTGTCAAAATGTCCGATGCCACACCCACACCTGACCCATGTCTTAATCCCTCAAGTCCATACCATATACACCCTAGTGAAAACCCAAATTTTGTTTCTGTCACTCCAGTTTTAAATGGCATCAATTACCATTCCTGGTCTCGTTCTATACGAATGACCCTAGTCTCCAAAAACAAAATGGGTTTCTTGAACGGAACAATACCTGTACCAGCTCCCTCTGATCGTGTTTATCTCTCTTGGGAGCGTTGCAACACTCTCATTATCTCATGGCTGCTGAATTCATTGTCACTACCCATTGCCCAGAGCGTCATTTTCCTTGACCACGCTACAGATATCTGGACTGACCTTAAAGAAAGGTTCTCTCAGAGTGATCTACTCCGAATAGCAGAGCTTCAAGAGGACATTTACGATCTCCGACAAGGCTCACGCTCAGTATCTGACTATTACACAGCACTGAAGTCTCTTTGGGAAGAACTCGATAACTTTCGACCCTTCCCCGTTTGCACATGCTCAGCCAAAGTCTACCATTAACAAGATTTTATAATCCGTTTTCTGAAAGGCCTTGATGACCATTTTGCCGTCGTACGTTCACAAATCCTTTTGATGGATCCTCTTCCATCCGTAAACCGAGTTTTTTCCATGGTCATTCAACAGGAACGACAACACTCAACACCGGCACCCATTGAGGAACCAAACACCTTCGTCAACACCGGGCAATCGTCCTATAGCAAAGGGCGCGGCGGGGGCAGCCCTAGCGGGAATAATCGCATTGGTGGCTCCAACAAACAATGCATCTATTGCGGACAAACTGGGCACACCGTGGAGGTATGTTATTCCAAGCATGGGTATCCCCCTGGTCACCCACGATACCCTGGACGTCCACGATTCCATAACCGTGGTAATTCATCCTCGCCTGGTGTCGTCAACAACGCTGCCCAAGAAGGGGAAACAATGAATCTTTCATTTGTCACTCTGAACAACTCTGATGGGCCAGGCTTCAGTCTAACTAAGGCCCAATATCAAAGCCTTCTTGGCCTCCTGCAACAGCAAAAGCCTAATCCTAATCCTAATCCTCATCTGTCCGCGGTTTCTTCTCAGCCCAAACATGTCAATGTTTCACAAGTGACCAAGTCTAAACCACCTGATTCCACTGATATGCATTTTGGTATCAGTTTTGCTCTCTGCACCAACACACATACTAAGTCCATTGTTCCTGACACTCATGCACTTAATAATGTTTCTTGGATTATTGACTCAGGGGCTACTGATCACATTACTTGCTCATTTAATAATTTTTCAAAAATTAAACCTGTACACATTAATTTACCCAATGGTTCCATGGTTGTTGCTCATATCTCTGGCACTGTTCAACTATCTCCACATTTCATTGTTCATGATGTCCTTTATGTGCCAAACTTCAAATTTAATCTCCTTTCGATTTCCAGGCTTTTATCTTCATTTAAATACACTCTCACTTTTTCTAACTCTTATTGTCAAATACAGGAAATGAAATCATTGAAGATGATTGGTTTGGCTAAATTGAAGCATGGATTGTACCACTTGGAGATCAACAAGGATAGTAGTCATGTTTTTCCCAAAGTTTCGTTCATCAATAATTTTTCCACACCCACCGTTACCAACACCAACCTTTGGCATTTTAGACTAGGACACCTCTCCGGAAACCGTCTCAATATCCTTCATACTAATTTTCCTTTTATTTCTAAGCATGTTGAAGAGAATTGTGATATTTGTCACTTAGCTAAGCAAAAACGGTTGTCATATTCTCCCAGTTCTAATAGAGCTTCCAAAATTTTTGATTTAATTCATTTAGACATTTGGGGTCCTTTCTCTCAATCCTCGATTCATGGTCACAAATATTTTTTAACTATTGTGGATGATTTTAGTCGTTACACATGGGTTGTGCTCCTAAAATCTAAAGCTGAAGTTAAAACAAATGTTCAAAAATTTATTATCTTAATTGAAAACCAATTTAACATAACCATTAAATGTGTTCGATCTGACAATGGTCCGGAATTCTTTCAACATGATTTTTTCTCTTCCAAAGGAATTCTTCATCAAACTAGTTGTGTATATACACCCCAACAAAATGGGTGCGTTGAAAGAAAACACCAACACATCCTAAATGTAGCTAGAGCCCTTATGTTTCAGTCCCAACTTCCAAAATATTATTGGTCATATGCCATAAAGCATGCTATTTATCTTATAAATCGCATTCCATCCCCTGTCATTAATAATCAAACCCCTTTCATATTATTATATAAACAAAATCCAGATTTTTCCATGTTAAAAGTTTTTGGTTGTT